GTCTTCTTCCTCTTCTTCTTCCTCGTCTTCCTCATCTCCTTCGTCGTCGTCATCCTCATCCTCATCATCGGGTGGATCATCCGGAGGTCCTCCTCCGCCACCAGCGAGGCTCAACTGACGTCGACCCGCTCCCTGCCCATTCCCATTGGGCGGGAATCCACCGTAATCCAATGGGGGCGTAGTACCGTTGTTTCCCCCCCCATCACCACCACCAGTCGTAGTAGTGGATTGTGGGACATGCCCAACAACCCCTTGCATCTGGGATAGGTGTACATCGATCATTGGATCACCGAAAGACGGAAAGAGGATCGAACCTGGCATCAGCGACGAATTAGGGATTTGATTTGAAGACGATGACGGGACTGACCCAGCCACCTTCTTGTCTATCCTATTTGAATTAGCCTGGGTTCCTCCCTCAGCGCGTTTCACTACTGCTCGTTCACGATGTCCATCTTTGCTGCTGGAGGCTTCCTGTGTCTCCAGCTTCTTGTGTGCACGTAGTTCCTCGTTGTCAGCATCGAGTTGGCGTACAAAACTCTCTTCTTGCTTGAGCGTCGCCTCTCTTTCCTTCAGTTGTCTCTGAAGCTCATGCATCTCCTCGAGGTACTCATCGTACATTCCCTTAGCTGTCAATCTCCAGTACTCAGCCTCCTTCGACTTCTCGTCCATCGTGCACCGTTCCTCTTGTTTCTCTTCTTTGACCTGGGCTAACTCCAAGATCGCATCCTGACGATGACCACCTTCGACAGCAATCATCTGGTCCTTCATCGACACGTCGGACTCATACTGTTTGACGATCTCTTCCTTTTCGCGAAGCAAGCAATCTGCTCTCTTCGATTCCTGTTCCGCAAATACTGTAACGTCATTCAGCCTCGCCATCAGCTGTTCCCTGGAGTCCTCCAAAGAGTACGTCTCGGGGCGCTTGACGAGTGCATGCTCCAACTGTGATTTCAGACTTTGGACCATCTCCTCCTCGTTGAACTTCTCGATAGATGTAGAAGATTCTATGCCTCTGATCTGTTGCTGATAAACTGATATCTGTTGTGAAGCCTCACGGTGTATCTGATTTGCACGTATAGCTGATTCCTGCGCGGCCGACTTCTCGCTTGCCATGTAGGATTTCATCAATGCAATCTCCCGCTTCTGCTCCATGATAGTTCCTTCAGCTTGCCTCATCTGTTGCATTATAATATTCGACTCCATGTCTTTCTTCTCCCCGTACTGAAATGCGTTCATTTCCACCTTGCGCATCTGTTGGGCTTCTTCCTCAAACTTGCGCCATGCCTCAGCCATGTGGTGTTGGTGGTGACTCACTAGATGTCCCGACTGCTTGCTGGCAATCTCGCATCGTCTTTCCAGCTCCTGGATCCGGATGGTGCTTCCATAGTCTTCTTGGTTAAGATTCGCCATTGCTGCCGACATTTCATCAAGTGTCTTCTGATATTCCCCGATCTCCACCTCCATCTTATTCTTCTCTTTGATCACGGCGCGAAAATCTGCACTGGTGGGTGATTTTGACCTCCCACCCTTCGACGTCGATCTCACGCCCTTCTGCGACGTCCGTGGTGTCGCAGGCGAAGATGATGATCTTCTCGGTGGGGATTCTCTTTTCTTCGACTCCTGATGAACATCGATCTGCTTCCATGATCTTGTGGGAGTAGATATGTCGCTGAATAGCGCGGAACCTCCGCTCCCAGGTTCATCCTGTGAATCTGCAACCATATCCATCACCGCAGGAAGAGCCATCAATCCATTGGATCCCTCTGAGCTGCTGTTCCCAAAAGTTGCAGTACTTGGGCTCGCCGAAGACGCCATTGTACTGTGTAGGTTATCGTTCCTTTATTGTCCCTGTACCCGCAATAAACCAGCTGTCTCCCAGTCCAGTGTAGAGCTTGTAGTTACGGCTGATAACCTGTCAAGAGACGGCAAGGTGACGTCCCGTGGGACGCTATGCACCGAACCCTCAAGCTGTAATACCAACCACGTAGAAAGGTGTATACGGACGATGCCGTTATAGCCGAACCCGTGTAAACGTTGTAAGGGAGAAGGAATGATAGTTACAACAGTGGTCCTGACAAATGCAGCGCAAGCGAAGTGTTTTCGCTCTCATTGCCGATCACGTATGTATGCAGTCACACATCAGATCTTGAACCTCAATTGTGTCTTGAGCCAAATGGCGATCAATGGAACTTGGGAAGCAACACCAACAAGGACCTCAGAACAGCTACCCAATTTCGGCACGGGGCCTAGAGGGTTTTAACACTTCTTCTCCTTACTGGAGGCAGTTTTGTGCACATTGGTTCCGGCCTCGATAAGAACTGTGCTCCCGTGCGAAGACACTACGAAGTCAATCGCGAAGAGTGCGTCAGAAAAACGGCAACACGACATGGCGCAAAACAAGAGGTATCCCGCAATAACCCCAACGTGGCTGGCCTCTGTGCCCAGAACAATATCCTCTAGCGCTGCAAGTTCAGCAACCGAGAGAGCCCTTGCCTGTTTCAGCAAAGGCTTTTTGCAGTAAAGCACATGTGCCACTCCCTTCACTCTTGCTGACAGTTCCTGATCCAGGTTCAACCCAACGAACTGCCAGCTGGCGTGGAAAAACCTCAAGGATTGTACAAAGGCATCGCCACTCGTGGCGCCTGCGCCCTCCTCCTGCAAGTACGACAAGTACTTGTAGACGACCTTCTTGGAAAGCCTCAGCCCATTGCCCGCTTGCACTGCCCTGCACCAAGTGAAAAATCTCCAGTAGCATCTGGTTCTTTTGTAAATGGTGGCAGTAGCTTTGGCCGCAAAGGTGTCTCTGATGGTCTTGCCAAAAGCCTGCAGTCTCTCACTTGCGCCTTCAGACAGGACAAGCTTGCCCAACTCAGTGGCTTCCATGCCGACCTCCAACATGAGCCTCATCTGCGAAAAAGCTGATGCTCGACTGGTCCTTGGAAAGGAAGCCACCTGGTCCGGGGCCGCAGGTGGACTCGTGCCAGACGGCCCCGCCAAAAATTCTTTCAGCCCCACTTTGGACAAGCTCAGTGACGGAAATTGCAACTTCAAACGCTTTGACGGATTGAGGATATCGTTCCTGTCCCACGGCATTGCAGGAGGCTTCGAGAGCTCTCGACAGGCCTCGTGAGATACCGCAGATATAACGTTCCTGCTCTGTGACAGCGTGGCTCCTGAAGCGCCTGCATAATCACCCCCGTTTTCATCGCACATGGTCAAACTCCAGTGTGGGCCAGCAAAGGTGGCGACAAGCGGATCATGTCGAAACCTCCGCGCTCAATGCGACGTGGGCGCGGACCAACTGTTGCTGCCCATGGGAAAGTGAAAAACAAAAACGTCTGGCGCTCCCACCCTACCTCGCCCTGAGCCACACACTCTGGCAGGGACATATCTTGCCCTCTTTGAACATGTGACTCGTCTGGTTTCAATTCCTGACAAAGCAACCCAACAAGCAAAACAAAGCTCAAGGGTTTGTTCTGAAAGGATAGGCCTCTCAACAAGTTGAACGGCATCTTAGTTGCATGCTGCGCTGTCCGGGTCTAATACGGTTGGTACACAATCCAACGTCTCATGTCTGAGTGGGGCAGCCCAGAACAAGTCTATACTGATCATTTTCACTGAGATAAGGATCAAATCCGAATGGAAGCGAGACATGTTTCCACAAAATGCCATAACAGTATGAATTCCGCAACCACATTTGGAGGGATTTTCAATCCGCCAGCAGCCTGGCCAGGTTTGACTCAATCCAGGGCAACGATGTTCGAGTAAACTGGCCTACGCAAGAAGCCTATACCCCCCCTACTTTTGGCAGCACCCCCAAAAAACAACAGGTTCCTTGTGTTGCGCTTTTAACACAACACCCAAATAGACACCAATCTCGTCCTTCAGTGTCAACCACCCCCGACTGGCGCGTCCTGAAAGCCTTCGATTTCGTTCTCGCGGCCAAATACTGACGGAGGCCTTGCCGGCGCCCGAAACCCCAGGGCTTAGAACATGGCAAAGGAAACCCTTCCGGTCTGAACTGTTCTCATGACGACCTTGTTGGGCCTTTACTATGATGAACAGCTCTTGGCATAAAGATTCCAATCATTTCAGTGGTTGAGATGCAACAATGCACCAAGCCAAACACTCAAAAAAGGGGGAACAACGTATGAAAGGAGTCTTTATTCATTCAGCGAGACCGCGCATCCCCAACGTTCGCTCTCATTTGCAAAGAAAACTGGCAGCTCAAAGGTTCATATTCCTTAATTTTTACCTTAGAATCCACTGTGTCTCCAGGCCATTCCTCCTTGACTTGTTTACATTATTTATAAACAATGCACGGGCTGAGCCCCCGCTCTTGCCTCCGGCCTTACAACGCCCCTCGCAGCAGGCTCGGTGCAAGGCTCTAAGAGGGTTTCCACCGCAAAACATGCGGCCACTATGTAAGGGGGTACACTAGGTGTTGCATATATATATATATATTATTATAATCTATTAATATGTATGTACCGAATGTTGCTTCAGGGCTGAGAAATGCGGCAACTCGGTCGGGCCTGTCCATGCAGTCGGCGAGTTGCCAGGATCCATTTCTCGGCGCGGAGCTTGTGCCGTCACCTGGCGAGTCCCATGGCCCACAGTCGATTGGAACCCCCGAAAGTTGATTGTGAAAGATGCTCACGTACCGAAAAGGTCTCCTGCGCTGTTTGGGAAGCGTCATGAACAATGCAGGGCAACTCAAGGTCTCAACACTTCAAGAGTTTGGGCGTGCAAAAACGTGCCCATCAGAAAGCACTGAACACAGGCTGTGTGACTGAAACAACTTCAAACTGAGGCAAGCATGTTTTGTGGCATGCCGATTTGCATCAGGCGAAAGCACGCCCTTGGACATGCTGAGTCCCTTAATACAAGTATCTTCACTATAGGGGAGCACCCCCAATAAAAGGAAAGAGAAATAAACGCCAAGGAAAGAATCTTTGGGAACCGGGGCCGAAGGAAGTTGGAGACAAAGACACAAACCGCTACCGAGCCGGTGCCCATCTGCCTTCTGGCTTGCTCAGCAGGTGGTACGCGTTGGACTGATCAGCGACCTGCACTGTGGCCAATGAAAGCATGCAACGCGCCCCGCAGCAGTCAGCTGGCCAATGCGGAAGTGGATTCGCTGCATTTTGCAAACGGTTAGGTCAGAACCGAAACACCCCCACAGACTATCCAAATTTACTTTGACTGCCTGTGGATATTAAAAAAAAAAAGCAACGCTGGAGACCTAGGCTACAGAGACCTAAGGTTACAAAAATCTCAGGCTGGAGACTCAAAGTGTTTTTTTTGGAGGATGCATTTGGAACATTTGCAGAACAGCAACAACCAATGGCCGATGCACAACCAACGAAACTCTTGCACAAATTGCAGTGCCGAAAGCCTATAGCAGAGTCCGAATACGAGAAGCTCACCAAAGGTCCGAGGCCTTCACATCTTGTACCATTTCGAGGCTTTCCGCTCAATTTCATGGGACAGCCCATTTTTCCGACTGATTGATTGTGGTATGGCTGGGCCCTTTTGGGCCGCGTTTGGGAGAATCTCACGCATTTGGGAGAACGGCCGGCGAAAAAAAGAAAGAACAAAAAGAGAAAACAAAAACACAAAAAACACTGCAGCCTGTCGAACGAGCTCCAAAATAGACTATATACGGCAGGGAACCAAGGAAATCACCCGCTATCAACAGGAAACTTAGTTCTACAGCGGCTTGTCTGGGATCCACTCACGCATCTTGCTGATCAGAACCTGTCGTCCGTTTCGGCCTCGGGATGGGAGCTGGCCAGCAATGCCTCCTTGGTGTGCTCGAAGGCTGAGGCAATGGACCTGGCCGGACTCGAAAGGGCAAACAAAGTTCCATTGACGCGACTCCTTTTACCAATACCCGACAATAATTCAAACCAACTACTCGAAACCAACACCCCAACACATATTGTCCGCACTCGAAGTAGCAGTGCGCAAACCCCTCTTGGAGGACCACTTGACCTCTGAAGGGCGGGCCTGTGCACTTCCATGTTTGTTGCTGGGAGGGGTTCCTATGCTGAGCAGTCCCCTCTGACCATCACCAAGGCCAATGAAGGTGTGAAATCTGCAAAAGAACCAAGTCATGGGTTTGGATGCAGCCCTCCTGCTCCGTCCACCCAACTGCAGGCAGTTGCCTGTCAAGGGGCCCTTTGCAGGGAAGGGCAGAGTCCCGAACAACTGCTTAGGGGGGCGGCTGGGTTTCTGTGTGTGCTCAAGTCGAATAGGAACAATTGCCGATAACACAAAATTAACAAAGCTGGTCCCCGCCAAGAAACGTCTTGCCAACATCTTGTCGACCATGGGAGGGTGTTTGATTAGTCAGGGAGCACAGTAGTGAGCATTTGCCAATGTTGCTGACCCCCATAGCGCGTGCCCATGCCAGTCCTCCGACTCTTGCGTTTGGCTTACACAAAATGAAGCGCTCCTGAAGAGCAAAAGCTTCAACTGACGCACAGGAGCGTATAAATTGGCAAAGACGCTTTGGAAATAGTCTGAAGACGGTCCCCTAAAACCTTCCCCTGATTCCGTGCCTTTCTTGCTCCCTCCCTCGCCGCCCTTCCCTGCTTCCTAATGCCCGTTCGCTCTTGGCCACACATTCAGGAAATTTGCAAAACTTTTTATATCGGAAAGAAGGAATGTGTCGGCAAGGGATCTTCGTTGTCGGCGAGTCTGTTAACTTTAGGTGAGCTAATCAGACTATGCCCGAAACCTCCCTTCCACTTCCGCAGTCATGCCGAGCTGCTTGCCAACAAACAGCGCCCCGTAGAAGCGCTCGGTAAAGACCCGCGCCGTCGTGTCTAACACCGGCCTGTGGCAAGCGCCCAGCACCAGCAAGAAAAGAGTCAACAGCTTCCGTGCACTCTCAACGAATCCAACATAAAACATGTTGTGGTCAGGTAAGACCAACGAGGGTGTCTCTACTGGCAAACAGGTGTGTACAAAATAAACGTCAGATGTTGTACTTTAGCTACCCAATGTTGAATGTACTGATTCACGGAATGCCTGCTCTGAAGCGGTGGGCAACTGAATCAGCGAGTCAGCACCGCGATGCCAACCAATTGTGTTTCTGCTACAAAAGCTCTGCGTTTCTTTACTGGGTGCAGGGTTGACTTGCTTGATACTCAATTCCATAGTTGTGAAATTCGCCAGCACTGCTGATGCAAAGGGGGCGACTCTGGCAGTGGCGGCACAAAGTATAGCAAAGCATTTGCCTTTGGATTCGTGGCAACAGCCCACGCAGGTGGAATTATCATGTCTAAAACATATTAAAACCAGAAACCGTCCAAACTGTTAGTTTCATGTTCCTTGGCTGGGAAGGTCGGTGATTTTGGGTCGGATATGGTCGGATCTGCTGGTTTTCTGGCACATTGCTTTGCCGTGAAAGTCTTGACAGCACTTCCTGTGACGGGCCTGCTGGTCGCAATGACGTGCTGGCAGCCACTGTCAATGAACACCTCGCGGCTGACAGCGGACCAGGCTGAATTGGCTACCCTCGAGTTGCACAGCAGGGGCACACATGCTAGATATTGCTCATGTTTAATAAGCTCTTGTTGAGATTCTACAGCTATGCTAGTAGTCAACATTGATGATCAAGCTGCCATGTTCCCATTGATGATGAATGTGGTCGCACTCATAGTGTGCATCATGTTGTGGCATTCCTCCCGTGTGATAGCATGTTGTAGGACGGTTTGCCATGCCTACACAAGCAGCGCAAGCAGCGCGCATCAAATCAGCCAACAAACGTGCGGCGACATAACTCACATTTCCAAGCCTTGGCAACACGGGACAACCACACACCCACGTATACACCGGCACACGAGCATACACAGACAAACACAAGCACACACACACAGAGACAAACGAACACACACACACACACATTCACACACACACACACACAAACACTGGTGATTCTCTCTCCCTTCGCGTATCACACGTCTTGTGCCAAAAATATGCGCGGAGTTTAGAGCAAGCCACATAGGCAGTTAAAGACTTGAAAAGGAATCTCTTGGCAATAGGAAGCTTCAAATGAACATCTTTGATGTCCCTCTGAGGCAAACTGGACAACCTTAACAAGGCCCGAGCGCATTCATGACAAGGTCAGGTTTCCTAGGGGGGCCGCAAGTCAAACAACGTCGTCGAACTGTTCAATTTGATCGGAAAGGAAGATCTAAGGAGTTTCGGCTCCGAGCAAGTCAGAACGTTATTCATCAAGCAGGCTTCCTCTTCAGGGACGCCATCACCTGCTTAACTACTACACGCCTGATCATGCAGGGAGGCGGCGTCCGACTCCAGCTTCGCCTTGCTATGCTCCTGTTAAGGGCGGAGCTGCCCGTGACTCCCCACTTTGCCTCGCTATGCTCCCGTTAAGGGTGGAGCTGCCCGTGCCTTAGTGTTCCACCTGGCCCTCTTAGTTTCAGGGTTGCACGCACACGCCCCGACAGCATAGCCGGAGAAGCTGCGGAGCCGCATCCTGAACAACGCAAAACTGCTTGAGTCCGTTGCTCTTCTCCTCGCGCCGTGCTCCCGTTAAGGGCGGAGCTGCCCGCGCCATATTTAGCACAGGGTTGCACAATTTGGTATCAACCGTTTCTTGTGAGTCGATGCAGGTGACCACATCCAACGAAACAAAATCCAACGGAACAAGCAACAACCAACACACAAAGTGAAACACGTGCAGCAAAAAAAACAACACACACAAACAAGCAAGCAAGCAAGCAAGCAAGCAAGCAAGCAAGCAAGCAAGCAAGCAAGCAAGCAAGCAAGCAAGCAAGCAAGCAAGCAAGCAAGCAAGCAAACACACACACACACACACACACACACACACAACACACACACCAAGCAAATTACCCACACCCACACCCACACACACACACACACCCACCCACGCACGCACGCACGCACGCACGCACGCACCCGCACGCACGCACCCGCGACGCGCACCGCACGCACACGCGCAACTCACAACACACAGCGCACGAGACACACAGACACACAGACACACAGACACACGGACACACGGACACACAGACATACAGACACACAGACAGACAGACAGACCAGACCAGACCAGACCAGACCAGACCAGACCAGACCAGACCAGACCAGACCAGACCAGACAGACAGACAGACCAGACAGACCAGACAGACCAGACAGACCAGACAGACCAGACAGGCCAGACAGACCAGGCAGACCAGGCAGACCAGGCAGACCAGACCAGACCAGACCAGACCAGACACACAGACACACAGACACACAGACACACAGACACACAGACACACAGACAGACAGACAGACAGACAGACAGACGGACGGACGGACAGACAGACAGACAGACAGACAGACAGACCAGACCAGACCAGACCAGACCAGACCAGACCAGACCAGACCAGACCAGACCAGACCAGACAGACCAGGCAGACCAGGCAGACCAGGCAGACCAGGCAGACCAGGCAGACCAGGCAGACCAGGCAGACCAGGCAGACCAGGCAGACAGACCCAGACAGACCAGACAGACCAGACAGACCAGACAGACCAGACAGACCAAACAGACCAGACAGACCAGACAGACCAGACAGACCAGACAGACAGACAGAGCAGACAGACCACACAGACCAGACAGACCAGACAGACCAGACAGACCAGACAGACCAGACAGACCAGACAGACCAGACAGACCAGACAGACAGACAGACAGACAGACAGACAGACAGAGAGACAGAGACAGACGCAGACAGACACAGACAGACACAGACACACACAGACACAGACAGACACACACAGACACAGACAGACACACACAAACACACACAGACACACACAGACACACACAGACACACACAGACACACACAGACACACACAGACACACACAGACACAGAGAGACACAGAGACACACAGAGACACACAGAGACACACAGAGACACACAGAGACACACAGAGACACACAGAGACACACAGAGACACACAGAGACACACAGAGACACACAGACACACACAGAGACACACAGAGACACAGAGACACACAGAGACACACAGAGACACACAGAGACACACAGAGACACACAGAGACACACAGAGACACACAGAGACACACAGAGACACACAGAGACACACAGAGACACACAGAGACACACAGAGACACACAGAGACACACAGAGACACACAGAGACACACACAGAGACACACAGAGACACACAGAGACACACAGAGACACACAGAGACACACAGAGACACACAGAGACACACAGAGACACACAGAGACACACAGAGACACACAGAGACACACAGAGACACACAGAGACACACAGAGACACACAGAGACACACACACACAAACACACACACACACAGCCCAACAGCAACGGCGCGCAACTCCGCAAAGGACCTGAATTACACCACCTCCGGCGTGCCAGCGCGCATATGTCTCTTGGAATTTGCACGCATGCAACATGCTGCAACCTTGAACACCTGTAAATGACACACACGACGATGGCCGGAGGGGCCTCGAAAACCAACGCTTTTCCACTGTATGCTGAGGTGCCCGTCCAAAGGGCATGAGCATTCGAGGTACGGCTTTTAACGGCCCACTCAAGAACGGGTATGAAGTAACCCAAGGACCCCCGTAAAGTGGCGGTACGCGCGCCTGGGCGAGCTTCTTTGAGCTGCAGGAGCTGAGGAAGAGGAGCGAAACGCCTCTCAGGCCTCGGCCTCCCAGGTTCAAGATCTTCATCAGCTTCTCCTGAGACTCAAGCCGCATCTCAAGGCCAGGGCATGCTCAATTGCGGACCCTTCTGGTGGACAATGGACAACTGGAAACTGCATTCCTGCAAGCCCACACGAGTATACTGAACTGGGGACCCACTATCCAGCAAACATTTTGAGAGTTCTTGTGGCAAGAGCCAATAAAGGCTCAGGCTTGTCCTCTTTGTTTCCTCCAGAGATTGCGGGGCCCTGTTGCACCAAGGCGCATGTGTACAAGCGTGAGCTTCACCAGTGCCGCGAGTGCTCTCCAGAATAAGGCCACCGGCCTTGCCAAAATGCAAGGGGCCTAGTCGGGCCAAGGTGTCTTTACGGTCTTTACAGTCTTTACGTTCAAGTGCTGTGCGACAAGGGTCCCACCACCTATTTGGTCTGCGACTGAGCTGATACCTCAGGCTTGCACCTCACTGGCCTGGTGTCCCCCATTCAAGCTATTTGCACCGCTCCCGGAATCCACTCCGCCCAGGCTGTAACCCATCTGTCAGCTGGCAGTAACAGATCTTCAACTGTTGCCAGAAATGTGCTGCGTGTCTTTCTCATCCCCACCTTTTCTGTATTTCTATTCACATGCGACGCGCGGCCCTTATTGCTTCCCTTTGCAGTGTGCGCCATCCCGTAACCTCCGTCCGGAGCTTGCAACTTCAAGCAATTTCACCAAACACACGGACCCCTCCCTGTGGCACAAGACACTGCAATCCACATCAGTCGGCTGTTGGTAACATTTGGGCACTTACGGTTGTTCCTGTGTGCTCATCGCCACAATTCCGATTGGAGAGGCCACCAACAATTTGAGAGCTCTTAGATTGGAACAGTCCCTACCAAAAAGGGCAGGGTCACGGACAATCGGCTAACCGCGTGACTGGCGCAAGTTGGGAAGAAGGAATGCATTACAATATCTATTTTGCAGCAGGTTGACTGCAAGATCGCGGACAAAAATGACTCCAAACATCCACGACATGCAACATCACATGTCCTAGGAGCCAATCGATTGGCACACTCGATGGGTCCATGTGCAACATCCTACAAGCCTTTGTCTCGTTCCCCATTGTCGGCCTGCATATAACAGTTCAGTCCAGGGTTTGGGGCGGGCTAAAATCAACCAATCTTGTCAGGTGAGCATCATACAGCTTGCCCGGCCTCGTCGCCGTGAGCCGCCAGATGCAGAATCAGCCCTTGGCTCCTTGCATGAGACAAAGTCAGCATTTTCGTCAAAGAAGCAGACGACGCGCTGCCCACGTGCATCCGCACCTGGCGGAGGACCCGCGTCCGGTAAGTGGATGGAACACACCTCGCCCCAACAAATGCGCTTCAACCGTTTCCACTAATTGACGATCACCAACCAGAGGGACCCGGCATTTTTTTAATGCTGGATAGGTTGGCCTTTGGGAAGACGCCTCCCTCTTGGAGCCCTGCCACCTGCGGAAACCCAATGAAACAGACTCCGAACAAGTACAGTATGAGTCCTTCACTTTCCAGTGGGGATGTCACGCTTCCAGTGGGCGCACCAGCTTAAAAGCAATTGTGGAACGACTGAGTGCTCCTGACTCATTGACTGGACTGGCCAAAACCAGTTTGAACATGCAGGTAGAGAGGATACCTAACAATGGGAAACAATCGGTGATATTATGCAAATGTTTGCAACCCCCCTGATGGATCTACCTTTTTGCTGGTTGAAGGCTAACTTGGAGATGGAATGCGGTTTTATTTGGAATGCCCCATGCGACTTGACCAGCATCAGCTCACCCTAAGAAAGGAACTCCTCTTCAGAATCAAATTTGCAATAGTAATTCCAATTGTGTTGTTCGTTGAAAAGGACATCCCATTTAAATTATCTTCACAACTAGAGATTCTACAATAATTATTTCCTTAGATTCCAGTGAATTCTAAACAAAATGTGGAGAGACAATATACCGGGAAAGGACTGTCTCTTTACAAAATGCTTTGAAGTAAGAACTCCAATTGACAATGTTCTTCAAAATGGAAATCCTATTCAAACCATCTTTAAGTCTAGACATTCTATTAGGTGTTGTTCACGTTTAATCTCTATTTCAGGTCTAATTGAAAAATGAACAAACCATCACGGAAAAGACATCCTCTTGAACATCTGTTCTAAGACATCTAATCATTGAACACCTTTAACAACAGAACACCAACACACGCTATGTAGAGTCTCTTTAAAACAAGACAATATACTAGAATTATGTATTTATTCAATTCTATTGAACCTATGCCAACAAATCATCCCGTTTGAACATGTGGGCTCATGCAATAGTTTTGACTACACATCTAGTTCGACAAGGAAATTCTATTTAAAGTCTCTTTAAACTAGAAACTCTACTAGGGTGTGTTCCTTATTAGATTCATGTCAATTCTAATGGGAAAATTGAACAAACACAATCCTAGAAACAGATCCCCTTCTAACGTCATCTTTCAAATCCTTCTCGAATACGTTGAATTCTAAGCAAAACAAAACACAAAAAGGGCAAAGCACATGGTTTATTTGAACAAAAATCATGTGTCCAGTGAGATGCATTGAACAAACAATTGCGAGAAAGAGTCCGATTTCTATAAACGTGAGTCAATAAACCCCAAACCCTACAACCTAAACCTGTCCATTCTAAGCTGAGGTTTGGTCAGAAGATGCAAAACAGCAGCTACAGTATATAAAAGTAAAATGAATAGCCCAAAAGTAAAAGCGTAAAGTTCTGGAGCGAATGACCCAGAAGTAAAAAAGATGACAAACATGCGGAGCCACTGAACCAAGAGCAAGAAATGTAAATTTCTGAAGCCAGAGACCCAAAAGTAAAGAAGTAAAAAGTAAATGTCTGGAGCCGATGAACCAAACGTAACATAAATAAATAAATAAGTCAAAGTAAAAGAGTAAAGGAGTACAACAGTTGAAACAAAAGGTAAACAAAGCAAAAAGTAAACACGTAAAACAACAAAGTAAAACAAATCAGCCCATAGTCCTGAAGTAAAATGCTTTGACGATGGACTGATTTTTGTTTTATTAAACAAGAAATGTGTTTTCTCTTTTTTACTCTTGGGTCATTGGCTTCATTTTGTCTTGTTTACTTTTGGGTCATTGGCTCCAAAAGTTTACTTCATTACGTTTTCACTTTTGAGCCAATGGCTCCAAAATAGCTGTGTTTTTGCATCTTCTGACAAAACCTCAGCTTAGGAATAGGACAAAGGTAGATCCAAACTGACTGGATTCAAGATTCCCTGGAAAAGTTTGGCCTAAAGCCCAAGCCCCAAAACAGGCACAAAACACTGTACCAGCGAATTCTGAAGGAAGATAGATCCATAAAAAGGGGGGGGTACCAAATATTTACCTTCCAGCGGATAGTTCTAAATGTGTTAGGATAATCCAGGCCCATCGTCTCTCGACCCCGAGCCGGAGCTGCCGCCTGCCCTGTCTGTAGCCGACCCGATTCGCGGGCACTGCAAAGGATCCGATCGATCTCTGACTGGAAGTCGATGGGCGAACAGTTTGCTAACGGCCTGAGACGTCCGGATCTTGGCTCATGTCTCTTACAAACGTGGAAAATGTGGACAACTGTCTTGCACCGTGGCCATGCAAACAAAGAAGGATCCATTTCTTGCTGATCGTTTTTGTTGCTTTTCAAAATGGCAATCCAGACTCTGTGCTGCTCTTAGAGTCAAGTATCTTTGAGTTGCAGTCAAACCGCTGACAATCATCAGGGCAATCCACCACAGAACTATCACAGCTGTTGCCCCCCAACAAATCATAGAATTTGACTCTGGCCCATTTGTATTGACATAGTCTTACATCGCAAAACAAATAAAGAGATTCGAGATCCGACCCTTTTGGGATATCCTAATTGGCTTCTCCCCTGCGAGTAGGGAATTGGCAGGGAAATGCCGCCTGAAGCCTGATGGCTTGGTTTTCAGTGCAAAGGACCCAGACATAACCTTTCAGTTGATTCATTATAAACTCATCTCACCCTGAGAACACGCCTGATCGTGACCCCACGCGTACACGCAAAAATGCTCCTGTGAGCAACAATGCAAACAGCTTCGGAAGACAGCTAGCCGATTCTCCAAAATGGGTTTGTCGTTTTGGGGGGGGGGGTACCCATGTGTTTGGGGTTGTCAAGCGGAACCAAAGGAAATTGCCGATTTTGAGGGTCCCTATTTTGAGACAAACCCAATAGACCCCGGCACCGACCCTTCCCCGCCCCAAATGGAAGCATCGACTGCCGCGGCGCGAGGCGTAGAGCACGAAGAGCTCACAAAGCCCGGGCTCGGTGGAGGCCTGAAAGACTAACTGGGAGGTTGGGCAAACGGTTGGGGAGAAAACCGTTGGAATGCCTACCCTCTTGCCAACAATCATGGTTTGGCGGAGGGTTTTGGAAGAAGACCTATCCTCGTGCAAAGGTATATTGTCCATGAGCTTGCAGAATTCACAAGTTGTCCTCTTCCAATTTGCTGTCAATATCTAAGGGAACACCTGTGGGGACAGTGTCCAGGAAAAAAAAACCACTTGCGACAAACCATCTGGAGCTAGCCTGTAGTTTCGAATCCTTGGCACAGGCGGGCCATTTTCTTGAGCCGCACGCAACGGATTCCAGCTTCTTACCAGGAAAAAAGGTTTCAACGACGTTGAACATTTGCGCCAATATGTGGCACCAAGTAGCTGCCTCTCCCCACTCTCCCAACAGTCATGGGAATTGACAGCGGCCTCTTTCAGATGGCAGTAGGCTTCAAACACCTTCCTCTCGGCTGTGGTAATAACATGTCTTGCCATGCTGAAGGTACAACGTGCTTCTGGCAATTATCTGCGCGTCGAACCAAATACAGGTATGCCAACGTTTTCCATCATTCCGCGCCCATTTGTTTGTTTTGTTGGGAACACATAACATAAGCATACATGAGCCGGATCCAGCCGGCATCCAAGCCCAATTCAGGCATGTTAGTTGCCCAGTGGCCCGGAGGATGCAAAAAGAAATCAGCTTGTTGTGCCAATCTTAAGTGGTGAACCCGCAGAAGCAATCAAAGGCGGTCACACAACTTTGAACTGCAGCCAGGGCGGCAAAGCGATTTCTCATGAAGTTCCGCAGCGAGTGATCTGCGTAATCCTCCGTCCAGGAGGGGCTTTGATGTGGACTCCTCCCACGGTGCGGGGTCCACTGCAGGGGGGTGCCGCATTGATGAGCAGGCGTTCCACAGTGCGCTGGAGAGGGATACCTGGATTGCAACAAGTTGGCGGGCGAGAGCGGTGCTGCTTGGTCGATACCTTTGTACCACATGTGGACATGTCAGGGCAAGCTTGCACACAGCGCTTCCAGAGCCGTGGCGAGTTTCAAGCTTTCCTAGCACAACGATGGCCCCCCAGTTGTCGGAAAGATAAGTCCAAAGGGCTTGGGCAGGCCTTGAATTTCATCCAAGCGAGGTCGACAAGTACCCCGAAAAGGGGGGGGTGACGGAGCTTGGGGTGTTGCTCAGTGGCAGTCTTGCAAACAACAGCTACTGGAACTCGGTAAGCTGCCAAAAGACAGGCGGCCGAACATCTGCGCTAGTGCTTCTCAGCTGCATACTCATGTAGCAAGAGTTTGGACTGATGGTGGAGACGTCAGAGTTCGCCCTTTCCAAGCCTGAAGGGCCGAAAGCATGCTGAACTGAACTACAGACAGGCGTGCAGGTAGAAACGGAAGTCATCAAGTACACTTCATGATACTTTGTGCAAAATGGCATCTTCTGCTCCATACAAGTAGTGTGACGCGGCTTCCTGTCGCTGCTCACGCTCTTGCTCTCTCTAGCTCTCTCTAGCTCTCTCTAGCTCTCTCTAGCTCTCTCTAGCTCTCTCACTCTCTTTCTCTCTCTCTCTCTCTCTCTGTCTCTCTCTCTCTCTCTCTCCCTCTCTCTCTCTCTCTCTCGTTCTTTCAAAACCTTGGACATGCGCTCCAAGTGTGGAACGTATCTAGAAAACGCCTGGTGAAGCAATTCCGTAGCCCTTTGCTGAAAGGTCCTGGTTTCGTTGACGCCCCTTCGACCAGTGTCAGAAAGCAGTGGTTCGTTTGCGAGACACGGGGTGCCAAAAGCCCAAACCAATTGCTCACACCTCGCTGCAGTTTGGAAGCTCTCCCGCATCCGCGTAGCTGGTGTCCAGGGCGAGTGGGGTGTGCCACTGCGGCTGATAGGCGGTAGTGAAAGAGGCGTGGAAGTCGAGGGCGTCGACAGATCCACACGCCTCAGGAAAAACGCCTCTCTTCAACATGGCACCAGGACAAAGACATCTGGACGTCTTTCCTAATGCGCGAAGGCCGAAATGTTGCGAAAATAAGTTCTCCAACAACGCGCGTCAGTCAGGCTGCACACAAGCCTGGGTGATTTCATGAATTCATCCAATATTGAGAAGCATCTTGCAACTGTTGGCCTCGAAGCCGTGTTAGGAAGGAACAATACAAGGCGCCCCTTCTCCATCGGGTGTCCTCACTCTACAAGTTGCTTGTGCAAATGAGGGAGGTCCATAAAGCTCGTAGGGGGCCCTTAACTTGTCCGCTGGAGTCCGTTTGCACAATTCGCACATATGCCACTTTCGTATTTTACGACTCAAGTGCTTCAGGGCAAGAGCTCTCGCCACCCAATTTGATTGACGTATTGATTAAATAATGAGGGCTCTAGGTGGTCGGCGCCGCTCCCCATAACCCCCTTGGCCCTTGAACCGCAGAACCGTTTTCCGGCTGAGGGGCGCCCCAGACTGGGACCTGCGGGAGCACCGGCTGCTGCTCCGCCGGAACTCCGCAAAGCTAGGCCTTGGGATAACCCCTGGATCGGTGCCTTCCAGCTTGGAGCTGGGTAGAAGCAAGTGCCTTTTTTTGGGAACCCCACAAGGCAATCAATTCATAACCTTGGAGTTTCCTAATTTTGAATAACCTATTGTCAACAAGTTGTTGGACACTGAGAACCCGCAGAATCTCAAACAGCAAAATCATCTTGCCTCTCAAAAACAAAATCAAGGTTGTCCTCCCGTCTGTCCAACTTTGCAACCAAATTCCAAGAATAGTTGCCTCAAGATAAACACCAACTCAGTTGCTGCATTTCATGTGTGGCAGCCACAGCGCCCAACAAAAGAGTGAGTAACTGGGACCAAGTTTCATCTCGGCCATGTGCGCAGGAAAACATGCCAGTCGAGACTTCGGTGAACGTGGCTCTCTGGACCCACATATAATCAAACATGAGCCAGGGTCGTCAGAAAGCCGCTTGTCCTGATGGTCCTCGGACTCGGAACCCTTGTGATTGCCTAAGTTCGTAAAGGGTCCATGGTCCACGGCCAGCTTTCTTGACACCTAAGTGACAAGGTGAAGCCACACATAATGCAAGGCCAAGAGGCCCGATGGGTGGCAGCCACCCGCTCGGCTTGGCCTATGCACTGATTGGAAACGGCGGCTCTTGAAGGAACCTCTAAACAAGGCAACTACCCTCAAATATACTGATGCAAAAAGCCTCCGACCATGCAGAAATCGTTAGTTTGCTTCTGCTGCGGGTTGGGGTGGTTTCTAGGCTAGTTCATTGCCTGAACAGGATGGGAACTGGATGATGGGTAGTTCTGGGCAAAAAAAGGGCTTGGTTTGGAGCGGTCTCAATTGTTTGAGTTGTTGCTGGCCGGGGTGTTTGGTTTGGTGGCTTGAGGCAACGCTCTGAATCAACCGCAAGTCCAAAGGTGTCGAGGCACCTCTAGTCCATCATCTTCCTGGCTTTGGCCCTTTCGCAAAGCGCGCCATAGGCTTGCCATCCGCCTTCTTCAGCGGTCTGGCAGCGCCCCGCCCCCTTAGTTTTGCACCTTAAGCCGATGTCTTGGAGGCAAGGTGCGGTTGTTTGCTCCTTTGTCACCCGGAGGCCCATGGTAATACTTGATCTTTGCTCTTCTGCAACTCTCCCCGACCTCACAAATGGGGCCGTGCGCATCTTTGCTTTGAGTCATGCCATGAACCCATCTCTGAGCCGCCGTGACTGCAAAAGCAGACCAAGACTAGCAGCCGAGCAAGCGCGCAAGACAATGAAGACAAACAAAGCAGCCAGAAACCAATCAAGGTGCAATCACAAACAAACACACAAGCACAGACAAGCACAAGCTAAATGACGTCGCCAAGTCCGAAAGCATTGCACGAGGAAACAAGCCTGACCTGAAACCCGGCGCTCATTTTTGCTCCGCTCTACACGTTGATGGCCTGGCCAAGCAATCGGGGAACAACTGGCGAGTGCTCGAAACATGCCCCCCTATGGATAGTGAGTAAATGGAACAGTAAAGAGGATACCACTCAGTTTAAGGGGTCCCTGCTTGTGGGACATCCTCTTCGCCACATCTGGGGGCACAATAAAACTGAACCATACCCTGACTGAAAGAAAGGTGTTGATGACCTGCTGGTAGTCAGGCCCACTGCGCTCAAAATCTGCACTGAACCACAGCCTGAACAAGTGACAAAAATGATGAGAGCACAAAAGGGGGGGGGAATTTTCAGCGTAACAGTATGCCTTTTCAATTAAACAACTCTTGAGCTATGGACCTCCCTTGACCGTGTTTGTGCCTGAGCCACACACTTTCCCATGCTTTCTCCGAAACAGCAATATGACCCGAGTCCCTTCCATTTGTGTCGGCCCATGAGGTCCTGGCAAGCAGTTGCAATTCCCTCGCTTGCCCAAGGACTTCGTGCTGTTTTCGCCCGGCACGTATCGGATAGCTTATCGACTGAGGCTTGCGATCGTGGTGCACCTCTCAGAAAGCAGCGGTGGGACAACGGCGTCTTTGCGTTTCCCAAAGCGATCGACACTTCATCTAGTTGGGCAGTTGATGCACGCTCAAGAAGAAAATGACCCCATGAGGAACCCTTCCGAAAGCTACATGGTGAGCTGAAATTTATTGTAAGCAGCACACACAAGGCTGCGCTGCGCAGCCTTCACATCGTATTATACCTTCAGGTGTTACGCAAGTAACTCGGAAACCTCAAGACGAAGCTCGGTGAATGCGAAACAGAAAGTACGGACATATCAGCTAGTGACTTCTTCCCTAAAAAGTTGCCAGGCATTTGGTTTGCAAGATCCGTGATGCTGCAGCAAATGAACAAACAAGAACGCTGACCCCCCAATCGATGCCCCTTCATGCCATGCATGTGTATCTTGCGGAAACTTTAAAAACATGTCGGGGGAAGTGTGTGTGTGTGTGTGCGTTGTCTGCCGGGCGAGGACATGTTCCCCATGTGTCGGATTTTTGTTTTTCTTCGTGATGCTAGCATCCTGCCTCCACCCAGGCTAATTACTGGATCCGGGAAACTCATCTCAGCAAGTTTCATGGGTCCAGTTCAAGCCGTGGGAAAGGATCTTGATTTCATCCCCGGGCGCAATGGGGCAAACATCAGGTGCTTCCCCTCCCTCGGCGCGCCACTGGGGAAGTTTAGCCGACACTTTCAACTCCAAAGATGCCAGACTGGCTATGCACATCGGATGGACAACAAATAAGCAAAGGCCCTTGCCGACATGTGTAGCACGGTGCCAAGCTCACCACTCCTCGGGGGAATATAGTCTTTAACACTCTTTAGTTGTCTTGTTCACTGGCTAGTATAATTTCCGGATGGATAACCATCCCTATAGACCTCAAATGCATCAAATCCTTTGGCCCAAGAACACCTCTGATCTGAGCATACAAACTGTTCTACTACCATCCGCTTGCCAGATTGAGGCGCAAACAAGCAACTAGCTGCAAGTGGTGAATTCGTCTGTTGTTTGCATGCTGGCTAGCTACTCTTCCAGTCTTCTCTGACCGCTCATAGCTGAGATTTAGGACCTACCTTTGGGTGTGTCACCAAATCCATGTTTCAAGTCATCTCCACGAAAAGGCAAATAGTGCTACAAATGGAATTCCAAGGATCTCCCTGTGGACGGGCAACGGGGAAGCACCCGCAAACCAAGAAAGCAGCTGCCGTAGCAGCTACCTCCTCAGCTTGTTCTGCCGGCGGCCACTCGGTCTGCATTAAATTCCTTCATGTCACTGGCTACGCCTGACTCGCATGTTGGCAGCGCAAAAGGCTCACCCCTTTCTGGCGTCGTCACAATGCGATATGTCTGCAAGCTGCATGTTGAACTGGAGAGTTGCCAACCACAAGCAGTTGGTTCCTTCTGTATGTTAGGTTTCACTCGGGATCAATGCTCCGAAACGGCTCCCGTTGAAACTGATCGAGTCGTGCCAGGCTAGCATGAATTGCTGAGTGGGCAAAAGCCCCGAACGCAAGTTGATTGCATTGCCGAAACATGGCGGATCTGCAACATGTCATCAAAGTGATTGAAAAGGGTAGCAATTCTGTCAATGCGCGCACATTGATCAATAATATACACATATATATATATATATATATGTATATCGTCAGTCAGGTGTTGGGTTTTGGATGTTTTTTTCGAGTTGCAGCATACCAGCCTTCGACATGACCACAGGCACTGCTCCCCGATGGTGGACCTCTGATTTCAACTTGCTCTTTTCTTCCGGCCACAGCATTCGAGGGGGTGAGCCAGAAGTCAACCAAAAGGGCATCAGAAATGGTTGCTCAATCAGTGGGCCTGCCCGCAAACGGGACATGGGGGGTCGCAAGCACGTCGTGAGAAGTATCTCAGCCATAGGATGGATTTGTCAACTTTCGCAGATCCGAAGTTGGCACTCTCGCCAATTGATCAGCTTTGAACAGTGGATGAGGAACACTGACCCTGCGTCAGCTTCTTCAAGTTTCTTGCACAACCTGTGCAGATCACCGGTCGTTTCAGGATCTGATCTAATGCCTGCAGCAAATTGCGGTGAGGTTCCTACTTGGCTCCCCTTCGAAACCATCCACAAAAAGGGTGGGGGTGCCTATTTTGGGCAACCCGCAAAGTACATACTTCACTCTAGAGTGGAATTCCGTGTCGTCAAAAGCGGGCGCTAAAACCCAAGTTGTTAGCACCATACATTGCGCATTGATTCGGCTGCTTCTGTTGCATGCAGCGTTTCCAATGAATGCAACTCATGCTACCAAAACGGGTGTAGTCACAAACATGTGTTTCCTTTCCTTTGATCTTCAGTGTTTGTGAGCGAGCCTCGCCTGGACACTCACAACAACTCCTCAAAGGCGTCCGGCCACCACTCGTGAGGCACGCGATATGCGGTTGAACTAGTGGACACGGAGCTGTTAGCAGGTTCCCTGTTTATTTGAGAAAGCTTTTGATGACTTTTGCCCTTGGTGACGGCTTCGCCATATTGGTCTTTGTAGCACCAGTGATCTGCAGATCTTGTGAGATCGGACATCGCGGGAGAGCTATCCAGTCGCGATTGCCTGACCGTCTTACCCAGATTGGGCTGGTAGACTTGCCACATCTCAGCGCATGACTGGATTCCCCACAACAATTGCCAGCGGGATTCAAATCGGAAGCGGGTCATTCCCCATTCTGCTTAACGCTTGTTTTCAAACATGCTGGGCTCGCGCCCCTAGTTGGGCTCGCGCCCCTGGAAAGGCGCTTCTGGTACCCTTGTTGCAAACTTAGCCTTCTGCCTATTGCTTCATCGACTGCAGTACACTAATGAAGTCGATCATCTACCTAAACCAATATTATCCAAAGCCAACCGCTGGAAACCCCAGTGGCTTCTCTTGGGAGCTGCAATCAGTACTCCAGGCCTTGGCTGAGCTGCAGCAGCAAATTCGCAGACAGACCAGCAACACCAAATGCACTGTTGATGGCATACACCATGAACGCCAAAATCATTGAAGGATGAAGTCATTTATAGACTATAGATTTTTCTGGTCCTCTCTTCTTTCGAGCAACGGGTATGAGCCGTTGGCATCTGCTGGCTGCAAATCAAGAAAAACAAGAAGAAGAAAAAACCTGCTCGAAAACACTAACAGCCAATGCCGTACTGCGTTCCATTGTGGTTGGCGTTGCTTGTCTATATTTCATCCCAGGCCTGCCACTAATTATTGTTTGTCCACTTCCATTGAACTGCACCCTGGTGTTGCTGCTTCTGTATTCCCCTTAGCCACACTCTGGCCGTCGCGGGGCTCCCCATCTCGCTCGCCTTGTTATGCCGCAAGGCGCCGCCGGTTTCTGGACCGTGCAGGCTGGAAACAAACAGCGGCTGATACATTACAGGAAAGACCGTTCGTTGGGCAAATTCTTGCTCAAAGGTCGAAGACAAGACGCGGCGTTTCCGCCTCGCCTTTCAGGCGACCAATCAGGGACATCGGCACCAGCTTCTCACAGGCTAATGCCAAGGGCACCTGTCGGGGTTGAAGAGAAAAACAAGATGGAGGCAATTAAGGCGTCAGGGTTGTAGGCATTTGACATGGGATCATTTCAATGAGGACCCTGGCTCGTTGCTTCTCCTTAGGCGGTGCGAACCGATCAAAACAAACCAGCCCCAGCTAAATGAAGCTGGACCCCGTTTGAGTCGTGTAAACCCAACAAACTTAACATACGAACAGAACGAGACCCAGCAAACTGGGTGGAATCTGTGTCTGGCATGCCGCGCGCTACCCAGAACCAAAGAACCCAGCGCCTCAACTGTTCCAACAGCGCCCGCCTTTGAACACGCTGCAGGCTAAACAAAACACACACAAGCACATCTACATATACAACCCCAATAAACAGCATGTAATTACATATCAACAACATACGAACATCCAGAGTAAACCCGCAGATTGCCATGGCAAAGTTATGGCTTACCCCTTCCACAAGCAACATGGAACCTCTTTTGGGCCCCCTATTTGCAACCTCAATTGTGGTAGGGAAGCAGGCTCTCCGAAAATGTCGAGTCAAAAAAATCTATGGAACAGAGCCACCCGCAGCGGCTCTCCTTGGAAGCCGTCATAACGGCGTGAGTTCCCGCGCAGAGGCCATCAATCTTTCGATGAACACAGAATTTATGACAGCCGTGCTAGTTGGTTACAGCACTAGAGCCTACAAGACCAGGCCCCCTTCTCAATAATTTCTCAACTTCCTACGCGGCTATTTCTTGAAAGGAACCCAGAACCTTTTCCTGTATAGGTTCCTCAGTTTCTTGAATCATCGCCGAGGTAACATGGAATTTGCGACCTTCAAAAGCAAACTCGGGGCTCTCCAGCGAAGACTGCGAGCATCTTGGGAAGACACAGCTCCACAATAGACCCAAACTTCGCCGGAGTATACACAAGCCCAAGCTATCAATGACGCAAACCAA